ACTACCTTAATTTATCACAAAATTGAAAGCGTAAATCAACTTTTAAGATTATACAATATGGTGATGAACCCTATCAAATTTATCATGTTCCAGGGTTTGGCTTGAGCAATTGAATAAATACATCTATCTTTACTCGGGGCGTTGGGTTAGAAAAGGTTTGCAGGTGGATATTTCTCCAATTGCCTCAACCACATTCAGTATAAAGAAAACCATTTGGTCATCTGCATATGAGTTTTTAGTTTAAGAATTAAAGTAACTCTACATTTCTATATTTGCTTTTTACAATTTGGAAACAGAATGTATGAAAACTAATTAAATAAAAATAAAAATAAAAATTACATGGTTCAAAGAGCCAGTGTTATATAACAAGCTACTCGTGGTGGTGTATATATCAGTGGTACTACACTACCACCTATCATATTAATTAGTTGTATAAATGACATAAATACATTAGTTTGTGATATAACTAATTTGGTGCGTCTGTTGGATTATAAGAATTTTTACTAGATGTTATACCTTCATGATATTCTAAATTTTTCTAAAACAAACATAACGTTGAGCGAACAAGCATTCGTTGTGAGAAATTTTACATATTCATACCTGGGAGAAAGACAACATCTTGACACTTTTGTGCCCAAGAATATCTGCAAATCAAGACTGAAATTAGCAAATGACAAATAAAAAATGCTAAAAGATTTAAACATTTAATTTATTATATTATTTTGTAAGAAAGTATTACATTTTTCAATATGATTTAATGAATTCATTCCTATTTGTTAAAAAAATTATTCATGACACTTCCACTGCACCTCCTCCAACAGGACTAGGGGTGTTCAACGAGGCGGGCCACTCGCGAGCCGGCTTGGCTCGGCTCGAGTACGGCTCGCCTCGTCTGCAATCGAGCCGACTCGGCTCGATTCGTGAGAGAGAACTAGCTGAGTTTGAGCCTACCTTGGCTCAGCTCGATTGGCTTGCGAGCCAAGTTAGGCTTGAATTATTAAGGGGGTTTTAGGGGTTTTTTTAAAGTATAGGGATTAAACCAAAATTTTCAAAGAAAAAAGTTTGCAAAAATAACAAAAAAACCCGGATGTTAAAATCCCTAAAAACGTGACTGAAACCCATTCGCCAGCAAATCCAAACCAAATCAGATTGAAAACAAGAAGAAGAAGATGGGAGGAAGGGGAGAGCAGTCAAAACCAAACAAATCAAGCAAAGTGTTGTTCAAATTTGGTAAACAAGTCAAGATGCCATTGGGGTTTGGTGTGTTGCCATTTTGCTTCTCTGTGAGATTCCTCTTTTGTCTTCTCACTAGGGAACCCTGTTGATGGTTGGTGCTGGTGATGGCACTATTTTTGGGTGGGCTGTGTGATTTGTTTTTGGTTTTTTCTTTTTGGTTGGTGGTTGGAAGGTGGGACATGCGGCTTTGTTGGTGAGTGCTCTGGGATTATGTTTTTTTTGTTGGTTGAGTCATGTGGTGGTGTGGTTCTCTTCAAGGAAGAAGGAGGAAAGGCTTGGAGGCTACTGGACTTTTTGTTCTTGGAGTGTTTGCAGCAGATGGGTGCTTGGCAGGTGGCTGGTGTTAGAGGTCTGGTGTGTGAGTGTGACTTCTCTGTTGGCTGGTCTGCTGATGGTTCCCGATTTTCGTTCAGCTGGTGTGGCTGTGAGAGTGTTTCATGTGGTCTCTCAGAGGTGGTTTTGAGATGTTGGGGGTTGGGTTCTCTACTCTTGGGTTTTAATTTAAAAAAAAAAAAAAAAACTGTATATTTTAAACCCCAAAAAAAATGAACGATGGCAAGCGGCTCCGTCAGTACTTCTCTGTGCTATGTATTTTGTTTCTTACAAATGTTTTTTTTTTTTTTTATACTGTCTCATCCTCTTTCTCTTTCTTTACTATTGGGTCCCTCATTCTCTCTCTCTTTCTCTATATCTGTGTATTTTGTTTCTTACGAATTTTTTTTGAAACTGTCTCATGCTCTTTCTCTTTCGTTACTCTTTTTTTATTTGAAACAGTAAAGATTTTGAAAATTAAACAATTACAATAAAATTTCTTTAAATCACAACTTAAAAGGAAAGGAAAATTCAATGACAAACTTGAAAAAATCACAGTTTAAAGGAAAATAAGAAAAAGGGTAGACACCAAACAAAAAAAAATAATAATAATAAGAAGAAAAACAAAAAAAATTGCAGTTTAGACAAAAGTTACAGTTTAAAAGAAAGAAAAAAAAAATTAAAGGAGAATAAGAAAAAGGGTAGATGCCCAAAAAAAAAATTGTATTTTCTGGAGCTGGCTCGCGAGCTGGCTCAATAAGCCAACTCGAGAGCCGGCTCGAAATATCCTATAATCTCTTACGAGCCGAGCCGAGTCATAGAATATATGATTCAGCTCGACTCGAGCTCGGCTCGTTTCTTAATCCTATTTTCACGAGTCGAGCTCGTTAAGCCTAAAACTCGGCTCGGCTCGGCTCGTGAACACCTGACCAACAACTTTGAAAAGTGACATTGTAGTTGTAGCAATTCCATTAGCTGCTCATCTTTGATCCTAGTCCTTTTTTTTTTTAACCATATTTGATCAAATCAATTTGAGACATAGATATACATGGAAATTATCTACGGATCGTGAACTTTTTTCATTAATGGTGGTAATAAACGCTAAACAATAATTTTACAGTTCTCAGTGTGAAAAATAAGTCTGTATTTTAGAGAGTAGGACTATATATCCATGCTTGAAACTGATTAGATATATATATAATTTGGAAATGATAGAAAATTGCCACTGCTCAGTTTTGTAGAAGAAACAATCATGTTGTAATGGACACCTTGTTATTAGGAAAAGAAACAAATTAATATGAGGTATTAATTTCGAAAATATGGCACCTAAACATGCAGGGAAATATTCTCAGATTTTTGTTTTCATAAAAAAACATTTTAAAATAATGAAGAAACAAAAAGAAATGCTAAATGGTGTTTAAGATTTAAATGATATTACATATACAAATGAGGGTCTTTTTTATAAAGAAATTTATATAAAGTGTGTGACATAAGTGACGTGACATAAAATGAATGAAAAAATGAACATAAATACTTAAAACTTATTAACTGAAGATGGATGATTTTTACTTTTGCAATGTGTGCAACAGTTATTGGTCCAAAAATCCTCACCACCAATGGATGTAGACAAAGTTGATAGATTATGAGGCTGAACCCTGCAAGCTCAATAATTAGGGAAAAAAATTCATATCGTTAAAGATGATTAAAAATGAAAGAGGAATATCATTGCATGCAAGAAATTTGTTATCCTCTGACGATATCTGTTCCAACACAGACAACTTTCGTCGAAAAAACCACTTGCTCCGACACCAGCATGCATCACTAAAATATTGTTATCTTCTGACTATTATATATTAATGAGTATACATTTTATACCTGTAATTGCAAGAACTTCACCAACATCTTCAGTTGAATAATTCAGACCCCTATATTTCCTAGGGCTAACAGCCTACAATGAAAAAATCTATAGAAGCAAGAGCAGTTTCATCTAATCAATTAATTTGATTATTAGCAGAAGTAAAAATATTATTCACCATCTAAAATCAGATAGAAAGGTACCTCAATGTAAGCCATATCATGAAGTGAAAAGAGACAGTAAACGAAAATGGAAGACATCAAAGGCCAATTCTTCATTAGGCTTTTCTTAGAACTAGATGCCTTTATTCTCTCACCTTGTTTATCAAATTCTGAATTAGACTCATAGGATGCAGATTCCAAAGCATCATATGAGACTTTACAAGATATATTACTCTCTTCATTGTGCATGTGCAGTGTCTCCTACAATAACCAAATATATTTAAGGACAACACTTCAAAAAAATCATCCGCAAAACGAATGTTGATATAACCATCCAATCATGGAGTAACATGTCAATGCGAGTGAGATATACTTCCTCAATGATTAGATGATTATACCAACGTCCATTGTAGGGAGATAGATCAGGATTCTCTCCTGATTTGAACTTTTACTTGAGTTTTTAAAAGCTTGTGACCAGTAGTTACAGAATAGAAATATATTAAACAATAAATAAACCAAAAATGCACAGGTATTGTGAGATCCGTAAAACTCAAGAAAGCTTAGATAAGGAGAATACCTTGATCAGGAAGATCGATTTGGTTAATAATGGCATCAAGGATTCACTATAATAAGTCATAAAAAATAACAATAATAGAATTACATATTGGAAGCCAGTAAGCAAAAATGGTTACCCCCAAAGCAAAGCGTGATATACAAAGGCAGGGCAAGAAGTATGGAAATTTGAATTAATTTTATATTCAGAATCAACATATTTTAAACATCTTAACAGAAAAGATTTGGATTAAAAAAACAAAGCAATGTTCACTTCTCGAACAAGGATTCTTTGGAAAATATATTTGGATATTTCTCTACTGGCTGAATTGCAAAATTACCCAAAAAAATTAGAAAGAAAAAAAAACACTTCACAACCAGAAAGAAAAACGAAATGGAGATAGATGATCAAAGAAAAAAAATGCTTAAGAGTATTCTTGGCTCTATTTTCATTAGATACATATAAATTTAAAATTGGATCCACGTTACAGGGTAAGAAAAATTGTTAGATTTAAATATTCAAATCGGATCCTTACATAATAATAACTTTGTTGGCCAAATGGCTTAAACTAGGAAAAAGAAATTAATGTGTCATGAATATTTTACAAATATTACAAATTACCCCCTAAAAATGGAACATTTTTCAATAAAAGCTGAAAAAAAAAAACAAACTGTAAAACTATAAAGTAGCTTACACGTATAAAGATACGTTTGATTTAGTTAAAAAAATAATCACTTATATAAATCTATTTTAAAACTTAAATTAGAAAAAAAAAAAAAAAAAAAAAAAAAAAAAAAAAAAAAAAAGGAAAAAGGAAAAATGAGTTATTAGCAACATGACACTATACAGAGTACTTTGCTGACACCCATCAAGGTAATCCTAAACCATAATTGTCATCAATGTTTCTCCCCAGGTTCCAGTTGTTGATGGCTACTCATTCCCTCATCTTACTAAGCGAATGAATGTAGCTGGTCGGCACATAACATCCTATCTTGTTGATTTACTCTCACGGAGAGGGTGAGGGTCAATACTTTGTCCAAGAATTAGCAAGAAAATTACAATTCATATTACATTTTGGTTGAATGTTGAATTTCTGTCCTGTAGGTATGCAATGAATAAGACTGCTGATTTTGAGACTGTTAGGCAAATCAAAGAGAAGCTCTGCTATATAAGGTGAATGCAAAATTTCATGCTGTGGAATGATTTTGTGGATCTTGTTGCATGATGATATAATATCTGTTTTATCTTACTGCAGTTATGATTACAAAAGGGAATATCAATTGGGCCTTGAAACCACCATTCTGGTTAAGAATTATACTGTGAGTTTATTCTCCTATTATTTTATAAATTTTTCTTTTTCTTGTTTCAATATAAATTCTTAATTTAGTTATGTATTAACTGAATTTATTTTGATCAGCTGCCAGATGGAAGGACCATTAAAGTAGGAACTGAAAGATTTCAGGCCCCTGAGGCTCTTTTTACGCCAGTAAGCCTATACGATTATTTATTGTCATGTTCTATATGTTAAAATTTTCCAAGCTATGTATTGCCTGATCAGGTTAATATGCTGTTAGCCTGTTACATAATTCCAGATGCTTTGCATTGGTAGTTAATTTGAAATGGCTTGGTACTCAGATCATTTTATGACACGCTATTCCTTTTTGGACAAAGAACGTAGATTTTAATAATGAAAAAATTGAATCTGTAATTACAAATCAAGCTACCACGACATTTTAATTCCTTAAGAGCAAAGAAAAAGATTATGGCATGTGCTATTAGTTTGTGTAAAACCAGTACTTGTTTGAACCCTTGTGTATGGATTTTTATAATTTGCAAAATTGTTACACGAGTGGTTTATATAGTAATGAATAACCTGATTTAATATATTTTACTGCCATCAAAGAACTATGAGGCCATCCTATTACACTATGTATTAATGGTTTTAATTTGTGAAACTTAAAGAATACTTCCTTCTTTCAGGAACTTATTGATGTTGAAGGTGATGGAATGGCTGATATGGTTTTTCGCTGCATTCAGGAAATGGATATTGACAACCGTATGATGGTACGTTTATTAAAAATCTATTAGTTTGTATGTAATTCTTAGTTGAGATTCTTTGTTGAAATTTTATTTTAATCTTTGCAGTTATACCAGCATATAGTTTTAAGTGGAGGGAGCACCATGTATCCTGGACTGCCTAGTCGGTACTACATTAAACTGCATTTTGCATCACATGAAATCTCGCATTCTCTTGTTCTTTAATGGAGTACTACAGTTGGATTCATTTCGATAACCTTGGAATGCACCATGAAGTTCGTATCTTCAGATTCTTCTGTAAAAACTTGCATAAAGATGCTGAAAACTATTAACTTGCTTTATCCATGTCCGTAAAACATCTTAACATACTTGAACTCGAAAGGCTAAGAACTATATCCAGAAAACGTAGTGATAAATCNGGCCATTAAATAAGTCCAACCAAAGAGGTTCTTATTTTAATCACACAAATGGATGGCAAGAAGCATTCTAGATACTCCATGAAACATTAATATTACCAAAGAAGGAATAGCATGCTAAAACTGTTGTCCATGCCACTTCCTCTTTATATATATGTATAAACAAATGGAAGATAACAATTACACTCACTATGATATTGGCAATGCTGAAAAAATTAACTCAAAGAAGAGAGTATTTGAGATGATATACAAAAAAATTTAAAGAAAAATTTGATATGTGATGGGATCCCTTGCCAGTTCCAAGGGCAACAAACCATATAAGATCTTTTGATAGTGATAATTAGCAAAATCAGAGCCTCATAAAATATCATGGCAAAGAAAATGGAAATGTCTATAAGATCAATTTTTAACCTAAAGTCACAGTTAGTCAATTTCATTATGACAGGAAACAGTCCGACATGTTAGGAAAGAATTACATCAAAATGCATCTTACTTAGGACAGATAGTAGTCTAAATCAATAATTTCATATAATATAATGGTTGAGATTAGACAGTAGCAATAATGTTATTTTGAAGTCATAAATAACATAAATTATGTACCGGAAGCCAGAAAGAAGCCATAGTTACTCCCAAAGCAATAAGTGATATAACAAAGCAGGGCAAGAAGTATGGAAACCTGCATAAATCTCATGTTTCAGAATACCATCATCCTTTTAACATCTTACAGAAAGAAAATGAAAAATAATAAAAACATAAGAGCTAAAGTTCACTTACCTCCCAAATAAAGATTCTTTAGAGAATATGTTTGGATACTAATCTGCTGGCTGAATAGTGAAAATTATCCCAAACGATAAGTACCATGCTTTGCAAACAAAAAACAAAATGAAAAGGACATGGGCACATGGACTAGGTGGGGTATGGGGATGTTAACAATAGATAGATTAAAATGAGATTGGAGCAGATACTTGGACAACTAGGGAAAAATCCTGAATGATTGACATTTCATAAGGATTTCAAATTACTTGAAAATGGAATATTTTTCAATAATAAAGGAGAAAGGAAATATTATCTACAAGTTGTATTTACTGGCACAAGAAGCCAAAAATATAAGTACCTGAGCCAAAAAATCACCCACTGCTAGGCCCATGATGAGTCCTATGCCCCATGTTGTACTCACCAGAAATTAGATTACAGTTGTCACCTCCGGCACCACAGTAAAATCTTTTATTCATGGAGAAATAAGCTTACTGCTGACAGTCCTAAAGCTTGGTGCTCTCCACACATAACTTCAGTTGCATATGCCTGGTAATGATAGAAGTTATGCACCGGCACTGGAACTAAGTGGAACACAAGTAAACAAAGAATCTCGTAGAATAGAAACTTTCCATACCATTACTATTCCAAGTAAAGCATTTATACTCCCAAGAAGAAACCTTGTGATGACAGCCATCCAAAAGTTTATACTAACCCTAAAGAGAGAGCTCAAAACAACCCTATGACAAATTTTTAAGCCCGATAATTATGAAAATTTTGTACATAACATATCTGAAATAAAAAAATTCCCGAATTAATTGCTAATTATCACTATTAAAATTTGACAGGAAACCAGCAGTTACTAACACTGAGATGTTTCCTTTTTATTTTTTTGGTTTTTTGTCTTTTTTTTTTTTCTTCTTTTCCCTTTATTTTTTTTTTTAATTTTTTTCTATTTTTTATTTATTCCCTTCAAGGTATTAAGAGGTTTGTTAGAATTAATTTTAAGGAACTGAAATCTGATGAATAAGCATATCTATATTAGAATACACCATCATTAAAGAGGAAGTATAGAAGATACACTCACCCACAAAGCCAGCATAGTAGCCAATATCTTCCTTCCTTTTTGCAATATGAAAATCCCTAATCTGAAATTAAATAGTAAATTAATAGAATGTTTTGGAAAGCAATGCAAGATTCAACAGATTAACAGCTAGGCTTTGTTTAATATTTTTCCCAAGCAATGGAGGCTAAGCAGAAAAATCAGCAACCAAGATAGTCCAACCTCAAACTCGTAAAAGATGTAAATAAAAAAATGCAAGAATCAAATCTGACCACCATATTCTATAACCGTCCTGGAATGTATCAGCTTTAATAAGTTGCAGAAAACTTGTTGTCTACTTCTCAGTAATATTTTCTCCAAACTAAGGAAGTGATCAATCTTGTCACTGGTAAATCTTACTTCTTGGATGGTTATTCACTCATCTTGTTCTGCTATCAATCATAGCGCATTGATTAGTAAGATGCTTCTGTATTTATACAAAAATCATTCAATTGATTTTTTTAAAATCTTCATTGCAGACTCTTTGTCTGTCACTGAACCAATTTCTACATCTGTCTATAACTCATTTTAATAATTTAATCATCTGCATGCAGAGTTACATTTCTACTCACGATGAAATAAAGGAGGGGAAAGAGTAATGATACTGATAGTGCTGAAAAATTGAAATGAGAAGGATATCAATATTATGGATAATGTACAAGATAAATCAAATAATTAAGACATGCTTAACAGCAGCTAAAACAAGTGCTGCAGGGAATGAAAAACCACTGCAGGAGGGCATATAAATGAATTTTAACCATAAAGAAAAGGGTGCATGCTACCTTAAATCAACAACAAAACTTAGTTACAGTAATAATTAAGTTCACCACAACCACAAAAAGCAAAACTTATTTATGACAGATTGAAAGGCAGACTCAACATCCAAGAAGGAGATCACAATTTATTCATTTATTGATGGGAAGACATTAAGTTGAAAACAATTCACAGATGTAAGCTGGGGGTTGAAAATTACATCTTCTAATAAAATATTTCCTGTGTTTCTAACTAAATAGAAATACCTTCAGTTAGCCTTTGTTACCGAACCCCAGGGGAGCATGCCAACTTTTTCCCTTAAGTAGTTTAACAACCGAATGGGTGCAAAATTGTCAAACTATTATTAAAATGAGAATCACAAAAACTCCAGTTTAATTCACCCTATTCATTATACTATTTGCAAGTACAGTGCTCCAATGGACAGAATTTCTCACTTTTGTTACAAACAAAAAGAAATGCCAACAGAACCATACTGCAAGAAAATGTAATGATAAAATCACCTTAATCTGATCATTTTTTCCACCTTCCAGTATATAATAAAGTAATTTTCCCTGTCCCATAGACACTAAAAATTCTGTTATCTTTAATATTTTTGATAATGTTAACCAAAACTATTTGCATGCATCTCCATTTGTGTGTATGCAGAAACCTTCAAACCTAAAGAGGAACAACTAAAAATAATTGAAACCAATACCATTCTTCAAATTTGGCAACCTGCCTAAACCATATCATCCCAACTACGCAATTCGTGGAAACAAAGAGAAATTTAAGATGCTCGTAAGAATATCCTGTGGTGAGATATGACGACTTACAATTACAAACCGCTACAAACCACAGAGAAATGATTTCCCGAATGGGTAAACCTTGTTTTAACTCTTTGAGCTTATCAACCTTGCAGCCAGAGCAGTTCTCATAATATTTCTTCTGCTTCAACAGTGTCTCTCTGCACTTCTCCTCCGACATACTTTTATCAAGCCAGCACAAGACACTGCCTCAGATGTATGAAGCTGTCAAACTAAATCTGAAAAAGCACTCTGCACTTAGTTACATAATCAGCTCAAAAACTAATCATCCAATAGAAATTAATAATACATATGTAAAGGTGAAACAAAATCTGAAATAGTACTCTCCACTTAGCTGTATAATGAGCTTAAAAAGTATCATCATAAAGAAGATATATATATGTCCATTAAATGGTAAGGAATCAATTGATTAGGAGTTAAAAAGTTGCTTAGAAAAGAATATTCAAGTCTTGAGACAAAGATGCTTTTGCTTTGTTTCCGTGTTAAATGAAAATAATATATAGCATCCACATATTTTACAATATTTTCTCTTAAAACGTGTGGATACAATATAATATCATACCATGCTAACAAGAGCAACACATAGAACATGCTTGTCACCATCAAATCATGATGTCATCTAATTAGCTTTTAAAACCAATATCACAATTTTTGTATCTTAAGTACCATGTTATTGACTTAGAAGTACTACAGGATTATAAAATAATAAGACATTAAATAAAAAGTCATAATAGCTTCATATCACTTCAGAGAAAAAAAAAAAAAAAAAAAAAAAAATTGGAATAACAATTATAAGTACTTAGTATGGCGTTACTCTATAATAATACAATTAACGTCTGTCTTCAACACATGAATGTAAAGCTTATACACAATATAAATAACCACCTTAAAGAACTCAAGTATCGATTTCAAAGGGAAGTCAAACTATTATTATTAAACATCAAATGAACAATGCAAACTGTTAAACTTCCAACATAATGAAATAAAATAAGCTTTCAAACATGTTCCAAGTTTTATACTTGAATATTCATACAAATAGTAGTTACAATGGCGAGGTAAAGGACAATAATGCGTACTTCAATCAAATAAAAATTACCTTCTTTCTTCACCCTCATGTTGTTATATTAGTAATACTATGTACACAAAGTTGGAACCCTAACTTTAGAATTCAACTAATATGTACCTCACTTATCACATCATTTTACAATTAATATGGTACTACCATATCAGTTTACTTCTAAAGTCAGGATTCTAACTTTATAAGTACGACATTACTCAAATTTACACTACACGCACGCGTCCTTCACTCAAAAAACGACACCTCACAATCACATGACCGATGACCGTTTAAAGCTTCGCCTATAGTGATCTGATTAAGACAAGTAGCACAAACAAAGCAAACCAAAATGTGAGGAAACCGATCAGGAAACCTAGCAAGCGAAATTCAAACTAAACACCAAAAGCTTTAATAAAACATTTTAAGAAAAGTGACAAAAAAAGCTCATCTGAATCTTAATCCTGATAAGTTGATAGTAAATTAGGGCACGATT